GGACGCTACTAGGAACAAGTGCATCGCTACTAGTAACAAGTGCCTTACTAGTAGTAACAAGAAGCTACTAGGGGCTCCTGGCACACCATCGCGATCGGTCCACGGGTCGCTGCTACGCCCACTCTGGAGCATAGCGGGTGAAAAGATCTAATGAATGCAGCTAATTTCGCACCACAGGAAGCGCGATGTCCCAAGTGGACAAAGCGCGTGCAGCCCCAAGGTGGAACAAGTGTACCATTTGCAATCGCTCCTCATCTGACATGTACACAGAGGCGCCAGCAACAATACCCTTAGGCAGCGCACGGCCAGCATACTTTGTCTCTGTGGCCACAAGGTCGCCAGGGAAAATCTGGGCATCTTCGACACATATGGCCTGTTTCAACATGGAGCGGAAGGTCAGGATCAGATGATGGTAGAAGCTAACCCCAGCTTCCAATTGCGAATGACCAGTCCACGCAACCAAAAAAGGCAAGCTAGCTCTGTTGTTGCAACGCATGACTGTGGGTCTTCTCGCCAACGAAGAGTCTGAAGGAAACGACGACACTCACGCCAGTCATCTGTGTGAGTCCACTTGCTTGGAGGGGGCTGACGATCAAAGATTTTGGCCCTCCATGGAAACTCTGTTCGGAGTGCAGCCCATTCCCATTGAGGGAATCTTGACACAACGTTAGCTGGAGTGTCTGTGCTGGCCTTGGGGCCTTGAGACGAGGAGGGAGACGGTTGCGTAGTTTCCAAGAGCCAATTCAACATAACCAACCACTCTTGCCTGCGCAAGACCGCTGACTCAAGCATCTTTTGATCTCTTGGGTGGATCGGTGACAGCTCGGTCGCCAAGCGGTTTGCTTCTTTGTCAGCGATACGATTGGCGTAGATGTCCCTGGCGGTGGAACCACATGCTCGAGCGGCTGCTTCGGAAATGAGCTCAAGCGGCAGACGCTCAAGAAGATGGCTCGGTGTCCATAGAACTTCAATTGGTGCCACACAATACGCTCGCCGAGCGAGGAGGATGCGGCAAATCTCTTGCCACCAAGGTGTGTGCGGCCAAGAAGCATGGACTCGTCCAGCACGGCATAGCTCAGCAAATTGATCAACAATGGATTGACAATCTGACTTGACTTGGATACAACAGGCTGCTAGCTTGATCACCCGAAGGAGAGCATAGAGTTCTGTGGTATAGGCGGAAAGCTCCCAGTAGGAAACACCACCAGATTCAACGACCTGGAATCGGGCGTCGGCTATGGCATAGGCTCCTGTAGCTAGCCAGAAGTAATTGCCCCATTGTACTGAGCTGTCGGTCCAAAAAAATTCTGTTCGAATAGCATCAAAGGTAGTCGAATCTGCTCCAATGGGGGAAATCTGGAGTCTTCGAAGAGCGATGGACCTTGGACGCGTGCACAAACCAAACATGGGAAAGTTCACATGGCCGAGGCAACCCCAGGGCAATCGTGAACTAAGCGTGCCCAATTTTCCTTGGGACAATCGCACAAGCGGCACTTGGGAGATTCAACCAGCTCGGCCCGGAACAGGCGGTCATTAGTGAGGTTGCACCCTGATTGCGCAGATTCAAAAAGAATACGGCACGGAATCGGGGACTCCAACTTCAACCGGGATTTATGTACAAAGAGAGATGATAAGTCCGGATCAACAACGGCCGAACACTTGGCGATGTCTCGGCGTTTCGAGCAGGCAGCTTCTGTGTAACATTTTTGTTTTGCAAGATACTGTAACGGCTTGGCAATGTCCCTGTGGTTCAACTCATATAGTGGAATTGATTGAGATCCCCTAAAGGAGATGCAAAGCCCTTGTTGCAACGTCAGGCCTAAGAGCTTAAGTGCTTCCTCTAGTTGCCACATCAGTGATTCACGTGGCCAGGGGTGTGAGTTTTGAAGGTCACAACAAAGTTGTATAGCGCTCGGCAAATGATGCAAAAGTCTCACAAAGTCAATGACCGCCGTATAAGCACGAGCGATCTGTGGCTCAACCCTGTGCGGCGCAGCAACGATGCCGAGTACCAGCAATCGGGACCTCCAATGGGGGCGCTTAGCCCAAATGACATTGACGATCTCGTTCTGCGTTCTCCACAAGACCCTCTGGGGGATTTTTGTCATAGCCGCTCCATATGTAAGTTGTGGTATGACTTTAGAACTGATGAGGTGTTTCTTCACGTCAACTTTCAGTGGCAAGGCCGCAATATTTTTTAAGTCGTCGATGATTTTTTCACCCTTTTTTGTATCAAAGTCATAGGATTTGGGGGCATTGACATAAATTTTGACTCCAAGGACATCCAGGACACCTGCAATGGGAATATCCGGAAAGACGGCTGTAACTCTCTTTTTCTGCGAGGGGTTTGAGACCCACAGCTGACACTTCTTGGGATTAGATACTTGACCGGTGAGAGTATCCCACATGGCTGTAACATCAAGGGCCCGTCTGAGCTCATGGATCTGAGACATGTAAGCATCGTCTATGAAAGCTTTAAGGTTGATGAAAATCGACCACACCGACATGAACAAATTTATAGCAATCAGCGACAATGAGCATCCTTGAGGTACACCATTCGATGCTGTAGTTGCGGTTGGGGAGATCCACCCCCTCAAGGCAAGGTGCCTGCGCAGGTTGGTGTACATCTGGACAAAGAAGTGGACTAGACCCCGTGGGAGGGACTTGTCTAGCTTCAGGCCAACGAGGGCCGTAGAGTCCTTTCTTGCAATGTCCAAATCAAGGCGTAATTGCGTGTGTACTGACGTCATGGTTCGGCCCTTGATTGCACCGCACAAATTCATGGGCAGCACCGACTGTTGCCATGACTGTAATTGGCGAAAACGGAGACCTGTGTAAGAAAGGAGTAAAGCAGGAAGTAAGGTAATCAACCGTTTCTGCATAGGGGAGGGGTCCCCGTTTTTGTTGAGTACCATCTGTTTAGCAATGGTCAAGACTTGGGGAAGAGGTGTGAGTTCCTTCTCAATCTGGTTGAACAAAAGTGCAACAGGTACAAATGCGAACCAGGGAAGTCTTTGGAGCTCGACCGTACGCCATCCATCAAGACCGGGGGCAGCATTAGGTTTCCTGCGATGGATTTGCTCCCAGAGGTCCCGTGCGCTAATGTCTGGAATAATGTCAGGCTGAGACGATAAATGCGACACATACGGCCAAATGACCTTCAGTATGGTGTGGGGATCTTCGTGAAGGGCATTAGCACCGAACACCTGGTCCCATTGGGAATTAAACTCGGCCAGAGCGTCAAGGGGCTGATACAAGATGTTACCTGCAGTATCCGTGATCAAGTTTGGAGGTTCCTCACAAGACTTGTTTTTCAGGTGCTGGAAGACAAACTTCTTAGTACCCTCTGCTGAGGTTCTGAGTTTTTCTTTCCAAGTTTGAATCCTGGCGTGCCGGATATCACTGGTGACACTAGAGTGAACTCCCTCGAGCCACTGCAGGCAGTCGGAAATGTGCACTAAAGTGGGTAACTGATTCAGGGGCCAAACACAAGGGCAATTCCATTTAAACAGAGTCGATCTGGCCTTACGAATGGAGCGCATAAGTGTGTCACCATCTGCGAAAGACCGGATCGGACGAGTCAAACGAAGGAAAATTTCCCTAAGGAGGTTGACGATCACAGCGATCCGTTTGGTTTTCCTGGAGAGGGCATCACCCTTGGCGGATTGCCCTGGGCAAATACGCGTCGGTCGAAACGAAGGTGCACAACCTCTCTCCTTGGGGCCCTCTTCCCATTTAGCACCATTTGCAGTGAGAACTTGGATGAGGTAACGGTTAGTGACCTGCCATTTCTCATCAACTGTGGGAGCCGAGTGGAAAGCCGCTTCGGTGAGATTGGTCCAAACATGAACTGCATTTTCGTGGCAAGGGCTCAAGGGGTCATCTTTATTAGGGACAGAACAGTGGTCAAGATTGAATGCCGCGGTCTTAACCAAAGTAAACCCCACTTGAGTAATACGATCCCATTCGAATGTGGCCCTGATGGGTCGGTGTTGGACCTTCAATTCAAGAACTTCAATATGGCGTAATGCAGAAAAGGCGATGTGATTGCACAGGATGCCGTCGATCGACGCGCAGCGATCCCCGGGACCAGCGAAGAGCCCATCGTTGGAGTATGTTAAGGGTCCCCCTCCTGATTGACACGGACTAGCGGATCAATCCAAGAATGATTGTTGACTGCCGCCGAAACACTAGCATAATGCGAGGGGTTAAGTTGAAAGTCCCCACACACAATCACCGGCACAGGACCATATTGCGCGGCACATTCAAAAACAAGTTCCAAAAGATGGTTGTTTTCTGCATGTACTTCCGGAAATTTAGATGCCGCCGTTTTGGCGTAGATGGAGAAAACAAGCAATTGCACCTTTCGAGCCACTTGGACCCAAACTGCCACCACCCTTTTGGACGCATAGAGCGATTGGTATATGGTGCACGAACTGGGGTCTAGAGGAGTCACAAACTCGCTGTATGCCAAAATGGCAGTGCCTCCTGCCCCAGATTTGACAATCCCATTGGACTGAAGGATTCCAGGCAGTAAGCCCCCGTGGTACAGTTTCAAGTTACATGCTTGAACATCTTTAGAGGACGATCTGACATTGTTTTTGCCGATTCTAGTTTCTTGAAGACAGATTATATCGTCACCACAAGTCGACCAGAAGGTATTCCTCTTGAGGGGTCCGATGTTTGCGGTAACCACGGAAAGCTTCATTGGCCCGGTCGTTCCAGGACCTTCGCCTGGGAAGCCCAAGGATGAATCAAAGTTGGACGGGAACCACAGTGGATTGGTTCCGGTGATGCTAAAAACGGCGCCCTCCTGAACCCGTGGAAGGTATCTAACAATGCAATAATTAGGCCCTGGGCAACTGAGATGCGTGCT